AACGTTAAAAAAAATTTATATACGTTTAAATAATCCTAAATATTAGTAGAGTACCTTAGATTGTTCGGTATATTTTAAATGATTGTTAATTAATCGAAAAAAAACGCATATTGTAGTCTGAAAGCACAGAGTATAAGTTCGACGTACCATCCTCTTCGAAATCTCCCGTTAGACTGGGGTCGTTGTCCTCTATGAAAATTCTTTTATTGATTATTATTTATATGACTTTCTAAAAGATACATATGTATAACGAGAATAATATTTATAATAAATAGAATTTCCTTTTTCGGAAAGTCATTTAAACAACAATCAATAAAAGAACTTTCATAGAGGATAACGAGCCAGTATAACGTTGGATTTCGAAGAGGACGGTACGTCGAACTTATATTCAGTGCTTTTAGACTATAATATACATTTCTTTTGATTAATTAACAAAATCATTTAAGGTATGCCAAACACTCTAATATATTCTGTTCATATTTAGGATGTTTTAAACTAAAATACATTTGTTTTACCTCTTCTGACGAGTGATGACTTTGATTTTTAAATGTTGATCTAATAAAATATCAGATCTAAGTTCATACCAATAATTTCAAGCAAGAATCTAGTAAGCGTAACGGTGTTTAATTTTAAGTACACTTACTGTATTTCTTCACATATTAAATCAATATACATATACCTTTTTTCAAATTTTCATATAGTACTATATATTTTTCTCTTATTTTTTTATTATATGTTCTTTCATTATATTATGAATTATAGTATAAAAAATTAATGTGTTATATGATTAGTATAAAAACATTGTTATACAATTGAATGTGATAGTATTAAATATATTACTCTGTAATAAGTATAATTTATAAATTTCGTAATTTGTTAATTATTAAATTTATTTGTTTTTAAAAAATGTACTCCGTTTCAAAGAGTATATAATTATTTTTCTGAATCACTCTATCATTATATGGACATTGTATCTGAATTACATGTCATCACATGATTTTATAATCATGATATAGAAAATTTTATTTTAAATATTGGTATAATATTCTTTTTCTTTTTTTAATATCGCACTGCTTTAATTGTGTATTTTTTATATACCTTAAACATAAATATGTATTTTACTTTTTGTTTTTAAATATCTTGAAACATATTTATCTGTATTTTAGTGTTTTGATTATTTATAAAAATATAAAGTTTAAATCTTTTAAAATATATTGTTTTATTATTTAAATGACTCTTTTTCAGGACATGATTTTATTATTAAAAAAAGCTTAGTATTTTTCATAATGCAAAGTATATATGCATCTATTGTGCTACTCATATAACAAGTTAAGTTTGACAATGAAATAAATGCGTTGTGTATCTCTTATGTAGAATATCTATATATTTTATATGCTTATTATTTTTATTTGTTACAAGACTTTAATGTAAAAGATTATTCTTTTAATAATAATACACAATAGAAGTAGTATTCATTTTAGAAAAAATTAAATTATATGTTAACTATTAGATATGATCCTGATGAAAAAATTAAATTTATGTCTGTGTGCAGGATATAATTATAATATAATACGAGATATAAATAAATTCAAGTTAATTGTAATTTATATAATATATTTAAATGTCATGCAAATTATAAAATCAAATAACATATAATTATTTTTGGTGTCAACCAAAATACCAAAAAAAGTAAATACATTTTGGTTGATTAAAAATATATTTAATTTCAATAAATACGTTGAATAATAGTCATTAGCACATTTAATTTTTGGATTGTATAAAATATTGATACTCCAAAAATAGTGTCAAGTATTGAATTTATACTCTGATCATTATTATATATTGAAATATCATTATCATATTTAAAGATTATACTGAAGCTAATTCTTTCTCATATTATATATCTATATATATATATATATATATATAAATTTTATCAGTTCATGCATATAAAGAAAATGGTTTTTATGATTTCAAAAGTAAACATTTCAATAGTTACTTAATTGTAGCAGTTTTATGTTTAGCTATCCATAATATGCTTTCAAAACGATTTTTTTTCATATTAATGTTTATTTTTAAAGTGTATGTGCATTATATTAGTTAATCTTCATTTATATAAACATATTTTCCTTAAGTTGTTACATTAGATGTAGTAACGATTTTCTTATAAAGTAAATGATGTATATTTGCTATATTTTGTGAATGAATATAATATGCTATAATTGAATTATGAAGAGTACTAATGAGTGGTTTTAAGTATCGTATGCGAAATATTAAAACCTGGGTTCAGTTCCTGGTCTATCATGCAGTTTAATTTTTCATGATATTATCTCATTTCAAATGAAAAAAAAATACTAATGCATGATTACAATAATTTTATAAAAGTTGTAGCTGTATAATGTTTATCTCTAGCTTATGTATTTTTTCTATTTATAATAATATTCAGATATCCGAATAGAGCAAATTTTCACAAATTATTTTCTTGAACAGGTGCCCATTTTTACATCGTACTGCTGGCGATACTGAGAGACGTTATCATCTTCGGTATTACAAAACATGCATGTGTGTTCATGATACAGACACACGTGGTTTTTGTGTTAAAAATGGACCTCATTGTGCCTTTGCGCATGGCAATCATGATTTACGACCACCTGTGTATGATATCAAAGAAATACAAGCATTGGAAAATCCAGATACAGATCCCAATTCTTCGTCCAATGGACCAAACATTCTTGATAAGGAACGGAACTTGATGAATGAAGATCCAAAATGGCAGGACACAAATTATGTACTTAGTAATTATAAAACAGAACCTTGTAAACGACCTCCAAGACTTTGTCGTCAGGGTTATGCTTGTCCACAATATCATAACAGTAAAGATAAAAGGCGTAGTCCACGAAAATACAAATATAGGTAAATTAATGTTTTTTTAATTCTATTTTAAATGCTATTTATTTCGGTATAATTTTAATATTATTATTGTTATCGTTTTCTTAGATCAACACCATGTCCAAATGTAAAGCATGGAGAAGAATGGGGAGAACCTGGAAATTGTGAACAAGGAGATGCTTGCACATATTGTCATACCCGTACAGAGCAACAATTTCATCCTGAAATTTACAAATCAACTAAATGCAATGATGTACAACAGGCTGGTTATTGTCCACGTGGAGTCTTCTGTGCATTTGCGCATGTTGACCGTGAGTGTACCCTCATCAATCGTACGTAAAACAGTTGTTACCTATTTCAACAGGCTTAGAATATTTTGCAAATAAGTTTTGTATTTGAAATAATATCAAACATGAAAATTATGTCATTCAAATTGCGAATACATTATTCTCATTGTATATATAACTTAATTTTGTATAATTGATTTAAATTGGATTTAATATTTCACAACAATATATGAACATTCTGCTCTGTTCTTATATTATGTAAAAATTATTTTTGGCATTCTGCAAAGTGTAATTAAATTTCTTGAAAATAATAAGTTTTATTATCAAAATTGCTTCTCAAAATTGATAAATTGGGACATTGGTATGGTGTGCTGATGGACCAGTATTGCCAACAGAAGAAATGAGTCTGGCGAGGGACATGGCGGTACCCATAGATTGCGGCACAAATTTAGCAGATATACTCAATAATGCTTTACCACCTGATAAGCGCAGTCATGACAAGGATAAACCTCTTAGTGATAGCAGTGTAAGTTTTTAGTCCTTATGTAGACTTATGATAAGTGAAAGTTAATTAATAATAAAGTATAATTATATACGTTTATCAAATGGATTGATCAATTGATAAAATTTCAGAATGGAAGTGGTGAAGTATCTGAATCTGCGAGTACTAGTAGTCTTGGTAGCAATAGCTCACATAGTAAAGCTCCTGGTGCTCAACTTCATAATTCCAGTTCTAACAATGCTGTGAATGTTTCTGCCCAACAGAAACTTACTAGTATACTTTACAATCCTGGTTCTCTTTTACAAGCTGTAAGTTTGTTTTTTATTTATAATTAATTAGATGTTCTAATTTTAAAGTTTTTAAAATTGCTTCTTATTAATGTAATATTATTAATAGGGTGAAATAAGGAAACAAATGGTGGCTATAGACAGTGATCCATTATTAACAAAAGCTGAAAAGGCTCAACAAAAACAAAGTCTGTTTATCACTTATAATTTAAATGGAACCTTAGGAAGTCATTCATTGGCAACAACCGTATCACCATTATCTAATTCATTTTATCCAAACGACACTGTTGAATCTGTAGTAGGTATGTGTGTGGTAATTTATAATTAAGTTAATAATAATAAAATATTATTAGTTTTATATATGTATGTGTTTGTGATTCACGTATGTTGCTTGGCTAAAATAGTTTCTTTTGTTTTTTAGGAAACGCATTAGATGAATTACATTTAGACGATCCACTAAATTTAGTAGAATCGATTCATAGGGATACTAATTCTCCAATTAGTAATTCCATATCAGCGGGTTTAGCAAGTTCAGGATTACTGGGTAGTTCAGCCCCAGTAAATATTCCTGGAATGACAGAACGATCTGTTCTGACAAATTTCTCTCCATCTACTTCAAGTCCTCTTCAACAATTACAATCAGCCGGTTTCCTTACTGGGCACAGATTTTCACATCAAGATTCCATAGATACGGTAAGCTTGTTTATATAACTAATTAAAAACAATAATAAGACTTTTAGTAATTTTTTTTAATAATCCTTGTCTTGGGTTATTTTCAGACAATGCCATTTATGAATCAAGTTTCAGACCCATTTAGCAATCATATGTCTCAACTTAGTAGTTCAGCTTCTAAGCTTAGTGGATTTAATAGTAGCCTATTTGACTTTGCAAACCAAGGAATGTCACCATCTCGTACACAACCTCTCCCAGCATCTCCACTGGTTAGTGCATTCTCCATTAGTCCAAGTAACACAGGATCTTTATCTGAGGTTAGAGTTTCTCTAGCTATAATACACTTTATTATTTTATAAAAGCAATTTTGAACAATTCTAGATTTTTTATTACTTATTACAGGTACAGAGACTCAGAGAAGAATTGACTTCAAGTCGTGCCCAATTGGCAACATGGGATGAACGAATTAATCAAGCCAGAGCAGCTTGTGCAGCATGGCAGTTAGAAAGTGAAGAAGCTAAAAGAAAAGCAAATATTGCTGAACAACAAAGAGATGAGGTGAATAAAAATACAAACAATTTTATCATATCTGTCATTATTGATATAATTTAGAATATAAACAATATCTTTCATGAGTATTGCCATTAAATTTCGCTTCTTTTTCTTGATAAAAATATATTTTAATCTATATATTATGTATAATTTATTTGTATTTATATCTATTTTATTAAAATTCTATTTTTTAAATTCTATATAGTATAGTAGTGATACTTATGTTTAATATTCTGTATAAAATACAATATAAGAGAGAACTAAACAATAAACTTTGTTATTTTAATCGTTCTTAGGCTTTATTGCAAGTAAAAGCATTACGTGTTGAAAATGAAGCAGCCAGTGGTGGTCCATATCTGCATACATTGAGAAGAACTAGCGAACTCAGATCACTTTCAATAGCAACATTAAAATCAATTCAATCGCAACTTCGTTCGGATCTTGAAGAAATAGATAAGGTAAAACAAAGTTGTTATTGTGACTTGATTGACTGGTACATAGGACATTATTTAAATTAGTATTAACATTAATATTATCAGAATGTACATAAAATTGTATTTATATCATTATTTATGCATAAAAGATTTAATATCAATAATGGCGTTAAAGAAATGTGAACATTTTGTAAATTTATGCTATCAGTAACGACTGATTATCAAGTTATTTTTTCAAGAGTATTTATTTGTATGCGTGAATTATTTCATGAAACAATATAGATACTTCGGCTTTTGCCATTCCAGGTGCTGTACAGAGAAACGGCAGCGAAGTGCATGGTTTGTGAAGAACAAAATCGCACTGTAACTCTTGCTTGTAATCACTACGTGGTATGCTCAACGTGCGCTCCAAATCAGCGTGAGTGCCCGTATTGCCAGACACCGGTTGTCTCTACAAGTTAGGTCCGAAATTTTCATTGGAATCCCATTGTTAATATTTGCACTTTTTGCTTGTAAAACGTATTTCTTAAGAATATCATAAATAGTATATCAAAATTTAATACTTCAATTGGATACAATGAAAAAGCAAATACATGCTTTACACTGTTATAATACTTACTTATGAAAACTATAATATCACAGTAATAATTGATGCAACGTACATAGTTTTTTTATCTTACCAAAGTAAAAGTTGATATTGCATGCACAAAATATTCCATGTACAATATATGCATGGGAATTGTAGTTACATGATATATTTTTTAAACTATGACATTGACAGTACACTTCTCGTTTATTATTACATTTTCTTTAAAAGGTATAGAAATTTTTTCATTCAAAAGACAGTCTAATATATATTATACTAGCAGTATGCTAGATGTAGTTGAGATTTGTAACACAAGTATATGTAATAGTTACAGAACATTTAATATTGAAACATTGTAATCACGATAATGGACAAAGATTTGGGACCCTAAAAATATATATTTGTTTAAAAAAAATAATATAAAACTAAGCGCAACAAATATATCCCATTTAGGATATCAATGGAAGGATTCTTTTCTTAATGCTGAGCTGTTATACGTATGTCGTACAAAATAATACTTCTATTGTATTTTAAAGTATGTATCTAGGATTTTTCAATTGACCTGTACTGATTATAATATTACAAGTATTAACAAATTTTATATTTTTGGTTGAGGAAGTATCGATGATAAATGTTATATTAGAGTCACATAATATGTAGATTTTTACATATAGAAAATAATACAATTTCTTACAACAATAAAAAAGTAAAAATAGGGCTTTAAATATTTATCTAAAAAAGTACAAGTTATAAATGTTTTGCTATATTAAAAATGTGAATATTTTTATTTAACATAGTGTAATAAATATTAATTTCTTTATTTTTTTTTCTTTGTATAATTTATATACAACAAAAAGTTACATTTTATGTAGAAATTTTTTATTTTGGATACATTAAAAAACAATAATTTAATTTTATATGAATGCGCTTTTTTTCATTTAATAATGATAACATATAGTATAGCATGTAAATGTTTTATGCTTTATCTATAGAAAACAACATTTAGATAGATATATTTAACGTAACAGTAGTGCATTCATTACGAAGATTATTATTATATTACTAGTATAAAATAGTTATAAAGAGAATCATCTTCAATAATGATTACACTACATTAAACTTAATTTTGTGTTATACATTTTACATTCTAGCTATAAGAATATTAGGATAATACTTAGGATTTTTCAATTTAATCAAAAATAATTGATATTTATAATAGAAAGAACAAGTAAATTGTGACGTACGTGTGACAGCTTGTTGGCATGAAGTTAATAAGCATGCCAGTTAGTTTTTCTACATAAGACGTGTAATGTGCGTCTACTTACCGGCTCTATGAACTATTTCATTTTTAACAATGCAGTTGTTGATCTTCATGGAAAATAACTATACATTCAAGATGAAAAATAAATTTTGCCTAAGATATATAAATGACTAGAATAGATAGGATGACATACTATTTTTTCCTCATAGACATAAAATGTTATAATAATCAATTTTGAAGACTATTATTATTTAAAGATTATAAAATGATTATAAAATAATTTTAAATGTATAATACCAATACAAAAAAGTGCACATTTAAAATATTTTTTTTTCTTTTTTTCTTTTTTTCTTTTTTTCTTCTTTTTTCTTTTTTATTTTCAGCTCGGGTTTTTATTTTTTTATAGTCATATCTAACTTTAATTACATTTTCAAAGCAAATCAGTACTTTGTTGTTATTATTATATACCATTATTAATCGAAATTAATTTTGAAAAAGGTATTATAATCAATTTTACTTAATTGTTTAATTATTTAACTTTCATAATTAAATGAATTGTTTATTTTTCTTCAATTACATTCATAGTTTAGTATTGAAAAATAAGGCCAAAAAAAAGAAATAAATGTTTTACTAGGTGCGTTTTTATTGCAAATTATTAATATTCAGATACTACACAGATGTTTTTAAAAATACAGTTTTCTTTTATGGTATAAACGGTCTAAAAATAATATTTAAAAATTACGAGAGAGGAAGAAGAAATCAAATATTTTTTCTATAATGTCTAATGTTTAGTTTTTTTTTTGGACCGTATATACCATGACATCATTTACAAAATACCATTTGCGATTTAATCCATTTAGCACTGTAATAATGCATTTTTATTGCGTTTACTTAGCGCATTCTTTATAAGTACAATAGTTTTAAAATGTGAAAAGTTAAAATTCATATATTTATAATATAAATATTTCGATTTTTAAAATCAATATTAGCATTATTAATGTTATGTAATTGCATATACATGTGAAATATACGCATGACTGTTAACTTAGAATAAATAACGAAGAAAACAAACAAATTATTCGTAGAGTACTTATAAAGAATGCTAGTTGTCAGCTTTCCGTGATCGAAACAATTTTTTTCTTTTTCAAAAATCAGATTTTTATGTTTAAGATATTGCGCTATACTTATCTATAAAAAATATTTAAATATATATAGTATTAAATATAAATATATCATTTTATTTTGCATTTTGTAAAGAAAATAACGATCGCGTAAAGTTGAAAATTTTAGGAAAATTATTCCTAAATATATTTATGAATATAATAAATAATTACAATATATACTATTTTACTTATAACAATAATATGAATAAAATATAATTAATCAAAGCATAAATTATATTATGGAAACAACAAATTTAGCTACAAAATAGGATAATAGGAAAATAACAAAATAAATGAGTAGCTGATATATTGTGTACTAAAACAAAACAATTGAATATTTATATACTGCTGTCCCGTTTGTTGGTTTCTCAATAATCTTTAATTTTTCTTGCCTTGTATATATAAAAATATTATAAAGAATCATCAATAATATCACATAAAGTGCAGTTAAATTATATAATTTACAATATTCTGATAATTTGTAACTTTTGTATTTTATATCTTACTAAATATAATAATATAATTTTTTAGATATAAAAGTATGTATATACTTTTTATACTAAAAAGCTGCAATTTTTTTCTCTTTTTTTTTTGTTACTTTCTATATGCACAGATACAAAATATCTGCCAATTATATGGCAATGTCTACCATATTTATCTATCATAGTAATTTTTAATTTGGCAATATAATACCTATTTAACGCTGATTTGTGGGTTTTAAGCTTTGTATATGCTAAAAGTAAGCGTATGCGACAAAATAAGTGGCATTTCATGAATAATCTATTTTTGCGTGTATGTAATGAAAAAATACAATGCACAACTAATTCATTTTTCAAATTATCAGCTGCATTTAAACTTTGAAATATGCCATTTTTGATAAAACATCATATAAATTACTATCTTTATATATTTCTTATATACTGCACAAAAAACCAACAATAGGGCAGACAAAATTAAACAATATATTTTTGACAAGATACAATAATACAAATGCAAACGTTACATGCTCTGTTTTGTGCGAATGATTCTTCTACTGTTTAAAAAAAAACATTGGAACAGAACCATATTGTGATATTTGTTTGTGAACTAGTTGGACATTTATACATTGTATGTTATTTAATATGCAAGACGTATATAATAGAAAGCAGATGGTTCTTTAACATAGAAGAAGGATTATCTGCGCACATCAGGCAACAAAACACATAATCACTAGAATATTGTACAATAATGAATTCTGTAAAATAGTAGTATGAAATACTTAAAGAAGAAATTTGATGAACAAATTTACCGAATCTATGTTATATATTACAAAAAACTAATAGCTATATATTTGTAGCATTTTTATTTGCTTATAATTTTGATATTAAACTATTCAAATATCTACCACGTAACAATATTGACCTAAAATTAAACATATTTATTTGCATAGTCATTATGTCCAATGTTCATAGAATCATTTAATATTTATTTTATAATGAAGCAAACAGCAACACATTCATGATTCAATGTAAAATGTTCTATATATTTTACTATGTTCTGTGTATCTTTAAAAATTCATATTTCTGCCTACCGAGATATCACAAAACTGCTTAGATAGAAAATAATAATATTTGTCATTTCTACATTTTTCAAATATATAAAAAAAATTATTAAAGTTTTATGTAAAAGTATAATTTATATCAATAGATATTTACACAATTAATATCTAAGCATTTTTGTGGATATTACGAGGTAACAATGGCTGTTTTACTGTGATTCTATAATATTTTTTGCTTGCAATTAAACTCATTCATTCAGTATGTTGACATTTGCACAAAATTCGGTGTAATATCGCAATATATAAACAGACGCAATTTTCCAATGTTACATACACACTGATTTAATTACACAATGATGTGTATTTTTGTAATTACTTCAAAATTATATATATTACTATAGGGGAAGTTCCTTTATAAATTGGTAATATTAACGTTAATGATAATATAACGTAGTTATATCATTCTTTAACTTTATATAAAAATTGTTTGAATTGATGAAACTTTAATTTCTTACACATTTGCAGGACATTTTTATTTATAGTTTTTAATTAATTAAAATAATAATAAATTAGTTTTATATTGTTTTAACAAAGTTTAGAAGGTTAATAAAAATTATTACAATAGTAATAATATTCTATTATTACTTATAATTATTTATGTAAATATGTACTGCTATTATTCGCTTAATTCTACTTGATTTCAATATTGCTTAATGAATTTTGTTTAAAAATTAATTTCAAAAACTTCATAATCATTTACATCCTCATATTTTTTCCAATAAAAATAGTGTTTAGTAACAATTAGAGAATTACGGGTTGAAACATCTGTTTTTGAAATTTGAGTTACAATACAATATACTTTCTCTGCAATAAATTTGAATGAAATAACCAAATAAGCAAGTTAAATTAATATCGAGCACGAAAATAATAAACTAAACGGTGCCATTATGTGTTAGCAAGTTTTTGGAAGTAATAATAAAACTACATTTTTTGTGAAATCAATGTGATCTATTAATATTTTTAATTTCTATAGTTAATTCTGCATCTCTAAATATTTTTAAAAGTATTTTCATACTATTATTGCTTATTTTTCATTTGTATTGAATATATAGTATAACATGTATTATAGTATAGTATAAAATAGTATAATAGAATATACGTGCGTGCGTGTTCGTGTCGTGTCCGTATGCGTATGCGTATGCGTACGTGTGTGTTTATATATATAATCAATCAAATTTCTTCTGATTTTAGAAATGCGGAATTACGTAGAAATACCCATTAAAATATTTTACTATTCTTACAATTTTATGACAAGATGGTCTTCCGGTACAATAATGTTTACGTAGCCTAAAGTTCAACACAGAGCAATGTGAAAAACCTTAAAAAGAAAAAATTTGTAAATTATAATCCTAAGCTTAACATATACATCGTTTTCTGCAAGTGCAATGTCACAAGTTTAAACATATTCAAGAAAGAGAAAATATATTCATATTATGTAGTTTATAACATTTAAGGCAAAAAAAAATGTGTGCTATTTATTATATAATAAATTTTAATAATGCATATTTTACTGTCATATGCGACATAAAACGTTGTACGAATGAATGTGATGCTGTTTTTAGAGTTGATATAGCTTCGTTTTATGTTTCTCTTTGTGATTTGAATTTTTATTGAAATCACAGAGATGACTCCAAAAATTTTCTAAATAATTATATTTGTATTACAAAGTAGAGCTATATAGAATGCAGTTAAATAATGAAAATATTAAACTTGTAGAAGTTTCTTGTTTCAAAAATTTTACATTTCAAATAAAATAATCAATATATTTAATCATTTTTACATAATAACAGAGCTAATATTGAATTTCAAAAATATCTTAACAGAGTTAGTTTTTTAATTAATAACGTTTATTATTTATAAACTAAAAATAAAAAGAATTTTGTACGTATGAATTAATTGATGAAATGGCTAATATATACACTTCACTTGTGCAACTGGTCTTTTCAGTTTACAAAATTTTTAACATTCTGATTGTCAATTCTATTTTTCTAGCCCGAACTTCATGATACATTTTTGTGTAATTACTTCTAAAATAAGAAGTTTTTCAATGTACAGCATACAAATGCTTATTAAATTAATAATTTGTCGTGTAATTTATGTACAACAGAGATATTCAAAATTGGCACATAGGGCGGGCCTATTGCCCTAATCCCTACTCATTCTGTTGTGTTTCTACCATAAATGAATTCTTACTTTCACTATATCAGCACTTTTCTAAGTTTGTTTGCTATTGTTATATTATAATAATTACTATATTACTGTTTAATATAGGTTGCGAATTATAATATTTAAAAATGATTAACAAGTAAGCATATTCGAATGGGGGCAACAATGAGCAGCATTATTTCTCCTTTAAATAAAACTTAGTACATCTCTAATGTACAATATTGATTAAATTTATGTAAATATTATTAATACAGTATATTATTAAACGTATGAACTGCTATCCAGAGAAATTATAGTAAATAATGATTACAAATATTTTTAAATGCAAGTAATTGGAAAAACAATAGCATAGAAGAAATTAAAAAAATTTTTAAGTGGTCACTTCTGGTTGAGATATTTATAGATATGCATTTTATATGACTGTTATTCATTCTAAACTCATATGATCAACTACTTTTTGTATCATTCGGATTTTATACGTTTCTAAAAAAGTTTCATTACAAAGTAATTTCATATGTATAATGTACAGCCATAGTTATTGATAATGCACCAATGGATTTTACATCAGTAGGAAAAGGTTTCCTTTCCATTAATCATACAATATAAACAAAATGAAATAGTTTTTCAGAAGTATTCACATGTATTTGAAACATGACAATGAATCAGAACGACATCTTGCTGAACATATAAAAATAGTGGATCATCGTTATAGCTAACTAAAACAGCTGCGCATAATTCTCAATTCATATAAATATTGATTTTTTACTACACGCGATCATTACTAGGATAATGAATTGAGAACCATGCATTTATGAGCAACTGAAACATCAGATGGCATTGATTTAATAATCACTCAGCATATATTCATATACATATAATTGACACATGATTATACTTTCTGTATATGCATTAAAACATTTTTGAAATAATATATGTATAGATAAATAATAAGATAGAAGGAAAGGGAATCTTCTATTACTGTGAAATTCAGCAATTTAATAATTGCTAGTGTACACAACTTGCTATTATATCATTAAATAATCAACCCACAAAATATATTTGATTAATGATATATAGAAGATGACCGATTTTGCAAAATAGTATTGTCGTGGGTGCTACCAAAATAGTTAAATTAAAACTTTAGAAATGATCATAATACAATTGAAAATTTGATCTTAAAAAAGTGTATAATATTATTACTTACATAATTTCTATACATATATATAAATCCATGCGCTCTGTGTCGTGATTACAAATTATTGATAATCTTATCAAATTCAATTGAATTATTTTCTTTACGATTTAAAATTATGCCACATGTTTGTATACGTGAAATTTTTAGTAACTGTAAGTAAAACTTATCTCATTATTACTCATTTTTTATTGTGTTTTCGTGAAAAAAAATTCGTGTTTACACACTGAACATACATATATAACATACAATGAATTTTTATACATGTGTACGATAAAATAGCAGTAGGAATTTACATTAAATAATGTTATTAGATTTTCCTGCACGGGTCATCGTGCATAGTTCTGTGTTTTACTAATTTATTTAATATTAATAGTTTTTAACATTTGATCAAAAATAATAGATGTTATTAATAAATATACTGCAGCTATTTTGTAAACTATGTCAACTTAAAACTAATTTTATTTTCTGAATTTTAAAGCAATAAATATTCGTTTTCATGAGTATAAGCTTGTCTGCATTTATGTATTGAATACACAATATATTGCAAAAAATTGTTATATTACAAAGATTGCTTATGTAATGCTTGCTACATTACCAAAATTATATTCACACAAACAATTTTTTTTGAATCTTTCAAATATTATTAGTATTGAATCTTAATAATTTTCTAATTTCCTATTTACTGTTTTTTTTTTTCAAATGAAAGTGTCTATTAAACAAAAATTTTCGAAAAGCATAGGTTACCAATTGTTACTTGAATGGAAATTAAATAATCAGCATAAAAATATATTTACAAATGCATAGGTTCATTAAAAATTAACATGAATTGCATTTCGTCGTAACTATAAGAATATTACTTTTCTTTCTTTTCTCAGATATAAAATAGCATCTTAAATTTTGTTATAATTTGTAATTATTATATTTGTTACACGATATACAAAATAATTCATACAAATATTTTATTCCAAGAATTTTAATATTTTTGCAAACAGTGATGTTTAAGTGACCTACTAAAAGTATATTATGTATATTTCATATGAATATAATAAAAATGAAAACTGTAACGTTCTTATAGAAGAGCACATGCGATATTTCTACATTCCAAATATTAATTTTTCACTTGTGAAGTACAAAAGCACAAATGCGCTTTACAGCAATTAGAATATTAAAAAATCAAACCGCACCACAAAGTAATGATGTAATTTACGAAAGTGCGTAACTATTAAAATAATTTAATGTTTTATTGTATAACAAAATTACTGCACATAAATGCAGCAAGATTCCTTCATTATCACTGATAATTGTAGTATATTCTAATAAATGTCAGTACAAAAAAATTCAATAATAAAAATGAGAAAAAAAACATTATTTGAATAAAAAAAGAAATTAAATAACTCGTATTTTTGGCAATATAAAAGTTAATAAATATGAAAATAGTATAGTAGTTATATATGTGTAATTAATTAATAAATTTCGTTCTAATATTTTTTTTATGACCGAAAATTTATTTATAACAATAATAATTATAATAATGAAAAATACAAATACAATAATACTGATATCGATAATAATTATTTTACGGCATACGCGTAATTTGTAGGACGATTCTCATTATTGCTTCTTATGCTATTTTTAGGGATATATATTATAAATATTGTAAATCAATAAATTGAATTAATTCAAATAAAGTTATATTGATATTTTTGTCATCGTCATCAAAAAACAAGTAAATTATTTTAATATTTAATGAATAGAATTTCCGTTAGTTCTTCCTGATGTTAGGAGACTGAAGTTTAATAATCTCTCAGCCATAAAGTTTTATTTGATCAAGAATATAATAAATAGTTCATTAGATTTGTTTGATTTAAAAATTTAATAACTATTGCCGGATAAATAATCAGAATAACATCCTTTTTATATTTTTTTACAGGACCTATTTTTAACAGAGAGAAGATGTGTTGAGTAATTTTAGTTTATTTGGTTTTGGAAAATCCAGAGGTCCGGATCAAATGGCCATTACGGTGATATATAAAGCTTGAGTAAAAGTTTACACTATGTACATTTCGAGCTAATAAAAATGTGAAAATATTATGAATTTTCGATCCACCAGGTTTTTTAAGTATATACGTCTTTAAATATGCATTTATACCTTAACAAAATTTTAAAAACTACCACTTAAAATAGAAAAACTGTATAAATTACATTGGTTGTATTACAAATGCATTTATTTGGCTTTTCACTTGAAATTAACTTATTATGAATGAATAAGTAATTTAACCAGAATCTGTCTTATTCGTTCCAATTTGATTAAATAATTTTTCTTTAATCATTTGTGTCATTAAACCATGTATAATTTCAATTGTAGTTTTAGAGCTATCACGTGTTGCTTTTATAAGTTTTTCTACTGGACTACTATAATCTGTTCTTTTTAGCGCAATTTCAGCTTCTTCTAATTTATTAGATAAATCCAATATTTGTCCTGTAGTATAATCTGTATTTGTTAATAGACTAGAAGAACTAAGAACGTTCACCCAGTATTTATTCCATAAGGAATCTAACAATTTTCTATCTAATGATGATATAAAATATGATATTTCTAAAGAATAATATTGATTACAATGTACACCAAAGTCTTCGATTTTTTCTAAAGGTATTGTTTGATATTCTGACGGCTCCTTATTAGGTGAGTGATAATTCTATAAATTAAAAATAGTCATTTTGATATAAATATATTGATATAAGATGTATTAGAATCATGATTCTATATAACTTTTGCTACGCACTTTTGGGTAAGTTCTAAATGCTCCTAAGCAAACTTTACCCGCAGAAATAGTTTGCACAGGATCAATTACAATAGCGACAAATGGATCTTGAAAATTTTGATTAAGAAGTTGTGTAGCCACATCAATACCAGACAACCAACACCCATAACCTGGATGACTATGATACCAGCCAATAACGTTCTCTAATCTGCCAACCTAAATGGATATTTTATTATGTTAAACAAAATACTATGACATTATGCAAGAAAAGAAATTATGTTTTTTTTAATTTCACCAGTTTTATAGAATCCATATATATAGACATATATTCATATGCTTGAGATTGCGCATTAACCCTTGTTTCTGTCCCTTCAACAGGTAATGCAAAAGAATCCATAACAATCATTACATTTGTTATTACTTTTCCAATCAGAATACCCATTACCTCGTTCTTCTTACCAGAACGTGCGTGCATTAGCATTTTTAACAATGCTAATGCTGAGATTTTAATATCTTTGAAAAAATGAGGACTATATTGAAAAAATCCAATGCATTAGAAAAATAAAATAGAATTTCTACTTATTATCAATTTCTAAAGAATAATACTAAACTTATGGAAATGATTATATATTTATATTAGACGTACTCTCTTTCCCATGGCTTAATACACAATATCTCTTGGTTTCGTCGTTTATCAAATTTGTAAATTTCATCACTAGCACTGATTGTTTCAACTTTATTTGACATTTCCCAAGTCTTCTGAGCGATAATACTTTGATCACTAGATGTACTAGCCATTTTTTTTCTTATGTAAAGCTAAAACATATTACAGATTAAATCAATTATTATCTTCCACAATTTTAAAAAAAACTATAATAAAATTCATATTTAATCACGTTCATCATATTACATTAAATATTAGACATACGCAATAACTTGAATATAATTACAATCATAAAATTGATATATACATAAGTTCTAACAAATTTACATATTTCATTTATTATAGTTAGCAAAATATTTGTTCTTTAGTATAATAATAAACAATAACTTCTAAATATAACTTAACCTAAAATAAATTCCTACAAATATCTAACACAAACGTGAATGCAATATAAGTTTTCAATAATAAAAAGAAATTATTTTCTTACTTTAATTTGAGTTGTTTTTTGAAATTATCAATAATAATGAATTTAACAAACCAAAAATTTGATAAACTAAATTGCTATACTTCGAATATGAATACTGCTATCGACATCTGCTGTCTTTGCTTAGAGTTATATTTAAGTATTTCTTGTATAAAAATCAAAGGTAATGACAACACACAGTACGTATAAATAAATAATATCTAAAATTCTATTAGAAGTACATTTAAGTTTCCGCCGTTTGACAAAAGACTGCGCAAAATATTAGCGATTTTGTATCAGCATCATATATTTTTTTCGTGCGAAAATGTTGGGTTTTGAACCGAGTAATCATCACACACACACATTTGCGGGAACTTATAATTTATTTCTTTATTAGGTATACAACTTTGGTTCCGCTGGTTTTTTATAAGCGGCTTTAGCGGTAAGTAGAGGTCGAAATAAATAGATCATAAATGTCATATAATCAACTTGGACATCTATTATAAATATTAGTTGATTTGTGTCTACAACATAAAGTTATTCTCGATGAAAATGTCAGTTTACGAATCAAATTCTCGTCATTTACGGGAGGTTTTAATTTTCTACTTCAATATGAAAAAATCTGCTGTTGAGACTTATCGAATGCTCTCAAATACTTATGGTGAGAATACTATAAGAGAAAGAATGAGTGGTTTCAACGCTTTAAGAACGGTGATTTTCATGTCGAAGACTGGCATAGCGGTGGAAGAGTGAAGGTTTTCAAAGATGCAGAATTGGAAGCATTACTTAATGAAGACTCGTGTCAAAGTCAAGAAGAATTGGTACGATCATTGGAAGTGACTCGATAAACAATTTTAAAACGCTTCAAAGACATGGGAATGATTCAGATGCAAGGAAATTGGGTGCCGTACGAATTGAAACCGAGATGTTAAACGGAATTTGTTTACTTGTGAACAGTTGCATGAAAGGCAAAGACGGAAAAGATTTCTGCATCGCATTGTGATCGAGGCCGAAAAATGGATTCATTACGAGAATTGTAAATACAGAAAGGTCATGCTCTGTATTTGGTGGGACCAGCTTGGCGTAGTGTATTATAAGCTGTTAAAATAAACACACAATCACAGAAAATCGTTATCGAAAGCAATTAATGCGTTTGAGCCAAACATTAAAAGACATACAGCCGCAATACGAGAGACACGATATAGTGATTTTGCAACATGACAATAGTCGACACCATGTTGCAAGACATACTTGGAAACGTTGAAATTGGAAGTACTACTCCATCCGCCGTATTCTTCAGACGTTGCTATCTCTGACTATCACTTGTTTCGATTAATGGCACAAGGCCTGGCTGACCAGCACTTTCAGTCTTATAAAGAAGTAAAAAATTGGATCGACACGTGGATCGCTTTATAAAAGATGACCAGTTTTTTCAACGCGAGATTGGTACGCTGCCCGAAAGATGAGAGAAAGTAGTGGCCAGCGACGGACAATACTTTAAATAATAAATGTATAACTAGTTTTTTTTTACAATAAAGCCTTGAATTTCAGAAAAAAAACGGCGGAAGCAAAAAAACTAAAATGTTGGTTTAATTAAACTGTAAAAAAACAATTCAAACAGGTTTTATAAATTACCGTTTATTTTTCGAATGATTACTTAACGTACTAGTTCTATTTACAATACTTCATAGACATCAAAATTTTAATATTTGAGACGACGTTAGTTTACAGCTAAACTAGATTGATTTAGTTGGTTAACTTTCACATTAGAAATTTAAATTTACAGGAGTATGTTCACTCAATTCTATCTTTATAATTACATATACATGCATATGCATATATAAATGCGTATTTACACCTTTCATTTGCATTTTCATATATGAACGTTTTCAAGAATAGTACATAATAATAAGAAAGTGGTTATATCTATGTAAACTTGAATTCAATTATTATATAATAGAGGAAATAAACAAAATAATTTAAATTATACTATTTTTGAAGAATGGTTAGAGCTTGCTGTGACTTTAAATTACCGTCTGAAGTAAAACCAACCTCATTTGATTTTCCAAGAAATCGAAGGAAAAAATTATGTATTAAAAGAACATACATAGTGTTCCGACGCAATAAAAGATAATAAAGATACAAATGAATTTATATTTTCCAATACTTAAAAATTATAAGAAATTGGGAAATGTTGGGAAGTAAATAAATTTAAGTAATTATAAAATAATCAATATTTTTGTTTAATTAGGTTGTATATATAATTAAATGCAAAATTTTATACCTTCTTTTAAGAAGCGATGGAAATTGAGTATCAACTATTAAAGTCAAATCGTTAGATGTCAGAAAAACATTCGATCGACTAGATGACACCATTTACAATGTTGCAGCCATTTGCAAGTTTACGTTTGTTTGTTCATTCGAATAAATAGAAGACAAAAAACATAAACTCCCCAGGTCACACCACGTGGAGGTTGCTGCAAATGTGACCCACCCCCGAGTGGGGTTTGGGCCCGGGCCCAATTTGAAACTATCACGAAAATATACATATGCCCAATTCTGTTTGTAGGGTCGTCGTATAATAGATTCCAACGGGAATTGGAATCGTTTTTACACGGAGAGCATACAACTAGAATGTTCTTTTTCTATCCATCCGAAAAAGGGGATGGGTGATCCGGGTCGTCACCAATCCCCCGTGATATTGGCAAGATTCATATTCTCCCACGGTGAAAACCCTCGATGATCATGCAGCATGCTCCCAGACAGACTCCTCCGACGGTAGTTTTCTTTGATGCTAAAAAAATCCTAAAATTTCGAATACGAAAGMCCCTCGCGATAGGGTTCACATAACGAGCCACTGACTCATTTTTATCATGCAATAACAAATGCTAAACCTTCTCAAGGTTATACAAGAGCACCAGATCAGATGCACTTCCTATAGGAACAATACGATTCGTTAAGGTTAGGAAAAAGTGTGAAATGGTATAGAACAATTATTCTACCTCATTCCACGCGCCAATTTTGCGTCAAAAGCTAAAACATAGAATACATGTTTTCTATATTTCCATTTCTCCGCAATGGCCAAAGCTCCCTAATGGGTGCACATCTCGTCTGCATCTACCCTGCCTACGCCCGACTTAAAAGAAGTCGTATTAACAGGCGGTCAGGAAATAATTGCGGAATCAAACCGCGTAGACGCTACAGAAATATGGTCAAACAATATGGAAACAAAAAGCCGATTATAAGCCGGAAATTACCTCTAGTCACCCATTCAAGAGAAAACCATCAGCTAAAATCGTTTTTTGGTTACCGTTGTTGACAAGATAGAAGAAAGGAGAAGAAAAGGGTAGGAAACGACCATATCGTAACGATAAGATAATGAAAATGATTTGGCGCTTACCTCAATACCATGGGAATATCAGCATATCGTTATGTTCCGTATTCGAAGTCCAGCCTGAAACGGGATTACTCTATAAATAAAAAAGTATTATAATAAAAATCTACGAAGAATTGAATATGTTGTCAATAATGTGCAATAAAAATATTCGCGAGTAAGTAAAACAACTACACCTACAACCTGTTCAAGCTGGACTGAATCGTTATTTTGTTTCAAACGATCTCGATGTTTCTAGCGATGTTGCCAATATAAAAATAATGCCCAAATCCTGCAAGCTGATTGGTTAGTTTTCATTTGTTTCGGTTTTCTAGTGACACACTTAATGCCTGTATAAAAACTAAAGCGTCATCTAGATTAACTTTCTTATCAAATATATTTAATTATTTATGAATTCTTATGTAATTTTATATTATTTCGCCTATTAAAAAAAAACAAAAAATATAATAAAATAAATCATCATATTTATTTAATTAAAATAAAAGGAATAATTTTTTTTGTTATTATATTGTATAGTTTATTGCTAATTATCAACGTCGCTTTTCTTTTTTGTAACCTTGAAATTATATATTTGTAGATGCTAACATGGAAACTACACAACATGTGTAATATAAATGGTTGCTAATATAAAAAAAATCTACTAATAAGGATAGAATTAAATAAAAAACATATATAGATATGTATATATAATATATATGTATTTTATTTTTACCTTCGTAACTCTTTAAAAAAATTAACAATATTTAATTTGCAATAGGATACAAATTCTTCTATTATTTAAATTTATTATGAACCTGTTATTAATAAAGAATATAAAAATACATCAATGTCTATAATGAAAAATTTGTTAAAATAAATTAAAAGTAAGAGTTATATTATTATGCATTATTTGCATTGTTTAAGATATTAATACATTTATATTTATATTGATGTGATAATTATAGTTTACCTATACATCCTATAATCTGAATATAATATATTTGAACAAAAATATCCTATTTCTTATATTTATAATTGATCTAAACATAAAGAATAGTTTGAATATGAATAAACTAAACTATATGAAGAATATCTATTTGTATTTCATATATTTGAATTAAACAGTTACTTTTAATAATTTATGATGTATTATTGAATAACAAATGTAATTCTTCTACAGAAGGAATTTCGATGAAAGCATTTTGATTATGTTCTATTGTTTTTAACATTTCAAGTATTTGTAAACATTGCGGTTTATACAGAGATAGGATGTCCAACTGCATTTGAGCACACTTAACTGAAATATAATATTTTTTAAATAATTTAAATATATTTATATATAAATAAATATATTCTTTTTTGTAATGTTACAGTGTTTTATAAGGAATTACCTCTCATCTTTGACATTTCGTCTAATAAAATGTTTAAATTCAAGTTTGCTGTTTGAACCTGAGTTAATATTTCACTATATTTCGACATTATTATTCCGCAGTATTTTTTGTAAAATTAAAACTCATAAAATGTAATCTTTTCTAAGCTTTTCCCATTGTTTTTAAACTATGCAATTGTACTTAAAAAATATATCTTACAAACTGTAAAGTATAAGATACGGTAAAATTTTAATTGGACAGAATTAATATAACTATGAGCATTTTCCAATAAAAATAAGTGGAACTGGTTTGCTATTGATTGCTTCTATTTCTTATACAAGAATTAAGTATCCAATATTTGTACTAATCACATGGAAAATAA